GAAATCTGCACTTCAAGGCCAACAAAGTCCTGCGCCTGCCACGAAATCTGCACTGCTCTGCCCTTCAACATCCACAAAGTCCTGCACCTGCCAGGAAATCTGCACTTCAACATCCACAAAGTCCTGCACTTGCCACGAAATGTGCATTGCAAGGTCCACAAAGTACTGCACCTGCCACGAAACACGAAAAAACAATCCTTTAAAAACACAAAAAAATCCTAAATTAAATCCGAGCCCGTCATGCAGCTACTAGTAGCAAGGACGCTACTAGTAGCTCCTGGCCTTACTACGAACAAGAAGCTACTAGTAGCAAGAGCGCTAGTAGGGGCTCCTAGCGTAACATTAGGAGCAAGGAAGCTACGTAGCCAGAACGCTAGTAGGTTGGAGCCTCCACGCGACGTCCAGCGTCCTGTTCAGTCCCGGTTCGGTGGGGCGTTGGTGGAGCTCGTCGAGCGCCAGGCGCGTATGGGCCGTGCGGGACGAGCTGTGACCATCTACTGCCCCGAAGAATACACCAAGGCACGGAGACGGAATTTTTTGATCTGAGATTTGTCAGCCTACAAAGTTGATGTGTTGTTTTTTCCAGATCTTTACAAACTGTTCCCAGATACGTTAACAAGCCTGATGTTTTGCCGTTCAGCTGGTCGAAGGTCAAACAGCTTGGTCGACAATGCCACACTCTAAGATTGGTTGAGTCTCGCCCATTCTGTCGAAGTCAAACAACAAGATTGAAGAAACTGCAGGGTTTTGTTGAACTGCTTAGACAGTCCTTTTATGCCGAGGCTGCAACAAAGTCAAATCAAAGGTCTTGCGGCGCAGCATTGCCGCAGAGGCCAAAGAATTGGCAAACACCTGGAAAACGTGTCACAAAACTAGGTTGGAGGTTGGAGGCCATCGCTAGTAGGTTTGAGGACATCGCTCTTAGGGTGGAAGCCATTGCTCCTAGGTTGGAGGCCATTGCTTTTAGGTTGGAAAACGTTTCACTTAAATTTCATTTCAGGCCATCCAGCACTGGGCCGATCGCATTGCTGGCTTTGAGCCGGTGGGCTATTTTTGTTCTCTTGTGAATGGTAACGATCATGTTCATTCAAGCATTCTGCATGAGCAGGACATCAAATCCATCATTGAAGAAGAAAAGGTGGACAAGGACTGAACTGAGAACCTCCTTTGTCTATATGGCTTAAGCAGCCACTTCAGCCACTTCTAGTCTCCTTGGCTTGTCACACTCCCCTTTTAGCGGCTTAGCGTTTAGCGCTATCAGGAATTTCAGCTCGCTGACCTGCTAGCGCAAAAGCACCTCGACCAAACTGTGTGCGAGTGGGTGGGGTCCAAAGGGTCCAAACCTGGGGTTTTCTCACAAACAAATAGCTTCTTGTTACTACTAGTAAGGCACTTGTTACTAGAAGCGAT